AAAAAAAAAAAAAGAAAGAAAGAAAAAAAGAAAATGCCTCATTACTTTTCTTCTTCTTTTTTTTTTTTTGAGACAGAGTCTCACTCTGTCATCCTGAGTAGAATGCCATGGTGTCATTTAGCTCATAGCAACCTCAAACTCTTGGGTGCAAAGCGAACAATCCTCTTGTCTCAGCCTCCCAAGTAGCTCGTACTATAGGCATGTACCACTACTCCAGACTAGTTTTTCTATTTTTAGTAGAGAAAGGGTCTCACTCTTGCTCAGGTTGTTCTTGAACTCCTACCTTAAGCAATCCACCCATCTTGGCCTCCTCGGGTGCTAGGATTACAGGCATAAGCCATGGCATCTGGCCTCAAAAATGCCTCATTACTTTTAATACAGGTAGACCAGAAGGTCTCTTACACAATTGACTGGGTTTATTACTGGTACTATCCTATCCATTTTCTTTCAATCATACTAACTAATTCCCATGGCATGCTGAAAACTTAAAACCAATAATCTATTCTCCAGTAAAACAAAACATTTCTAACTCATGACCAACAAAAAGAATAATAAAATTTTAAGGTTATAAAGGCCCACAAATGTTACCCAGGTTGATATCCCAATCAGTGCAAGATACCTTTTTCTATATAGTATCCAGGGGCTGGAGAATCTGTAAAACTCTTCTTAAATGGATTTAAACTGGGAGTTAATATATACTAAATGTCAAGAGACATATAAGATCCATTATATAATTACCATATTTTCCCATCTAGTCAAGAAATTAGAACCAATAACAATACCACTTTTTTCTTTTAACAAATGGAAGACTTTGGCAAACCATTTTATTTCTGTATGCCTTAGTTCCCACATGTGTAAAATGAGAGAATTAGCCTAAATTTTTTGACCTTTGTGGAAGAATGAAAGATATAGAAAGCAACTATGAAAAATTAACCTGTATCTAAATCGTGATCCTAGTCGAATAAATCCCGATCGATAAGAACTCTTTTGGACAGGGCCTCGAAGGCGGAAGAAGGCATGATGTTCCACAGCACATTTCCATAAATGTTTGCATGCTTTGGGATGATCCAGTCTAAAGACAAATGTATGCTCCTGTTCTTTGCCCTAAAAAAGAAAAGAATGTAAAAAGAGATGATTAGGTCAAAAAGTCCTGTCTGTTATTTCTGAGGTACAAATACAACCATAGTAATACTAAGAAGCAAATAATAAAGCATCTGGTTTGCTCCCTAAAACTCAGATAGTCTTTATAGTACCTACATAAAAAGGGAGAGTTGATATCAAGCTGTCCATTTTCTCAGCCAAAATGAAATTATTCCTAAGAATGTCCCTTCTACTTACACGAATGATCTCATTTGTCAGAGACATAAAATAAGGCTTCATCTGCTATTCATTGGGATAACTATATAATTTAAAGGATTATATAAGATCTGGCAGTATATATCAACAGCCTTAAAAATGTTCACATTTTTGTCTTAGTAACCACACTCCCAGGAATCTAACTATCATAGTTAATAATTATCACAGGTGCTTTGGGGGTTTCACATGAATTACTACAAAGAGCAAATGACCTATCATTAGCCTCATTTCATAGATAAGGAAATGGAAGATGCAAGGAAATTAAGTCCAAGGTCACAAAACTACTAAGAGAGGAAAATGGAAATGAACCTAGCTAGTCCAGCCCCAAAACTATACTTGTAACCAAGTTCTACTGCCTATATAGAGGAAATGATTTTTTTTTTTTTTTGAGTTATACTGCTCATTGTTGTTTGGCAGGCCCTGGGTGAGTCTGAACCCACCAGCTCCGGTATATGTGGCTGGTGCCCTAGCTACTGAGCTACAGGCACTGAGCCAGAAAATGATTTTTTAAACACCAAAAGTTATATACAAAAGATTTTCTTCACAGTCTCATTTATAGTAGCAAAAATTGACATCAATCCTAAATGTCCAAA